CCGCAAAATGCTACCGCTGTTCAGTGTGTATTTGTGCTTTTGCACTGCAAATTTCTGCTGGCAAACCTGTGCTGTCAGTGCTTTGTTCCTGCATGTTTAACAGCTCAAAATGTATAATTATTATCAGATTAATTATAGTTGAAGCAGCGATGAGCTTTGGGGCTGATAATACACCAGGATATTAATTATAGTTATTCCTAACCCTCAACCCTTTGGGGAAGAGGGGAATAGAACCATCGTCTCCTTTTGTCTTCTGTTTGGCGAGTTAGCAACTTCATAGTTCATTTGGGTTCTTAGTCAACCCGGTGTTTACCCCTCCCAGTCAGTTTCTCAGTGCCAAAACAGTGCAGCTCATGAAAGCCTATGTTTTTTAATAAGATTTGTTTGTGAGAAAAGGTGCTTCCAGTTTCCTGATTTTTCCCCCTTTGGTAGTTAGGACACTCTGGTTTGGGCATAATGCTTTTCTGTAATTGATTTATGCAAATTCACCTTGACTCCCCTTTTTCCTTTTCCTTTTGTTTTGAATTTGGAAGCTAAAGTTAATTAGATCCATGCTTCTCAACTGCCCTCCAAAATTCGTAGGCCTGGAAGTCTAATAACAGTAAAATAATAATTGTATATAATAATTACAGCATTTACAAACATGATGTAATCAAAAATTCAATGGGTATCAAACAGTGGTCAATGCAGATTTTGAAAGAAAAGGATGAAACTGTGGGTCATATAATTAGAGGATGCAACAGCTGAGAATGACTACATGTAAGCAGTATCACAATAGCTGCTATGATCCATTGGCATCTATACAACATTTCCAAATTTCCCAACAGAATTGGAAAAGTTACTGAAAATGATGATGCTACAATTTTATGGGACTTTTGCATATAAACTAATTGTCAGTTAGAATACAACATGTAAGATATTAAGATATAACAGTAATAAAAAAGAAAAGAGTTATTTTTGTCGATGTTTTGATAGCAGAATCAAGGAAAAAGGATCAAAAAACAATTACAAAATATAGAGATCTAACAACTGAAATGGTAGATTATAGAAAAGAATTTATGGTGCATTAGGCAGAATAACAAACAGATTAAACACATTTTTACTTGGAATATTTCTGACAAATGGGAAAAGTGATATTATTCCAGGCATCAAGGATTGGCTTTTGGAAATGTGTAATTTATCCATTTTAGGAAAGACTATATTTTCAACTGATCAGAAAATGAAGCAATAGGTTCTTCTTTGGTACAGATTTCATGCTATTTTATGTCAAGACAGTAGTATTTTTAAGGGTTTTTTTTATCCTTTCCTTAGTTGATAATAATATACTAATTATAAGGCATTTTTACTAAATCAGGGATTTCTGCATGTTTATTATATATACTTCGATATTTAGTATTGGTATTTTAATTTTTTTTCTGGTTTTTCTTCCATTGGGGGGTTCTTTTCCTTTTCTTCGTTCTGTTTAGTTTCATTCATTGTTTATTAATTCTCTTTAGTATTTATCTTTTTTTTTATTCTTTATCTTTTGCATTTTTGTACTCTGTTTATTTTTTGTAATCTTTCAATTAAAAAAACAATAAAAGGAAGTACTATTAAAACCAAACACAAATGTATATCTTACGAAGTGACTTGAATAATTTCTAGATTCCTGGTTAGAACTCAAACTTCCAGAGAATATCACTCAAAGATGTGATTCTTTCTGTTCTTTGTACTGTGTTTATTTGTTGATGAATAGAAAGATGATGATGACGACGACGACGACGACGGCCTATATTTTTCTTCTCATTGGCAAACTGATCTGTGGTTCTCTTCGTCTGCATCTTTTGTGTATTTTGACATGGTCCATTTTGCTTCCGAGCTGAAAGGCAGGATGAAAGAAAGAAAATTCTGCTGGTTGTATAATGGATAGTGCAGGCTTTGCTGTAAGAAAAGGAAGTTGCAGAGAGTTGGACAGTCTTGCACAAGCATACGTCGTCATTGGTTGCATGAGCTGAATACCGTATTAACGAAACCGTATGACAACGTAGCCTCGTTTCCAATTGGGCATTCCAGCAGAATTCACTCTAAAGTGATGTTTGCACTGTCTGTTGAGCCATAGCATGTACTTTGCAAACCACAGGAGTGAAACCAAAATCAAATTGCATTGCACTGTATGTCTTAAGCAAACAGAAGTACCATGGTAAGTCATAATTTAGTTTCTTTGGGCTTAGGACGTGGTACGAATGCAGCTACTGTGGTTTGTTATCTGTGGTCTATGGTTTAGGATATCTTGTGAACATGGTCCCAAGGCTTGTCCTAAAGGTTTGATGTCAGAGGTGCTTCCGGCTTATAAAAAGCCAAGATTTAATCTGTTTTTCCCTTTTCGTTTTTTTGCAGGTTTCTCATGAATTTGCTATTAACTTTAATCCTACCAACCCTTTTTGCTTAGGTAAGTGCATCTACAATGGCGTGAAAGTGAGTCCTCGAAACCCCAAACTCTTTGGAAAGTCATAAAAGCTCTTTGACAAGTCTGCCCAAGTGGCCTTCTAAAGGGACTGGCTTTTTTTGAGGGTCCAAAGTGCTTCTGGGTGAATTCAGAAGACAGATAAAAGATTCAGACAGACACAATTTAGGGATAATTCAAAACTTCCCAAAACATTAACGCTGACGTTTTAAATCATAGTTAATACTGATATAACACCTTTCCTTTTTTTTCTCTCTTTAATGATCTAAGGTATCTAAACATTGGAGTGTTAATAATCTTTAGTCAATGCTCAACAAATACCACTGTGTCAGAATAATATAATGTATTATGTGTGTTTTACAACAATATCATGATGCTAATAACGATGCTGTCCAATCATGTCTGATTCTTGGTGATTCAATACAATAATCATAATTGAACAATATAGTAATATACAATATAATAATCATGATGAAAAAGAACTTCCAAAAACATGAATCTCAGAGGTGCTTCGATGCTCATAACAATGTTTTGGTTCATACATTATATACACTATGGTGCATTTTAAACATAGTTCATTTAATAAACCTGATTTATTGAATCTTTTTGGCTGGGTCTGCACAACATGCTACGGTGAAATGAAACCAGTCACATCATCCCTTAATGGGATGTGAGAATCTGGCCGTGGGGTTTTCATTCAGCCCAGTGGACCTGTCAGTCTTCTGCCCCAGATTACGCAATATTTGTGTACTGGAGCACAAAGCAGTTACACTGCAGTTAAGGAGCACAAGAGGACGTATCTTTCCCAGCATGCTGAACCCCAAATGTGCCAGCATTCCAGTTCCTAACCCTCATGGCTGAGAGTTGGTTTATCTAGCACAAGAGTTTCTTAATCTTTAATTCAATTCCATTCCATTTCAATTAATCTTTTTTTAAGATGGCTTTAAATACTGTGAACTGCAGGTAAAGTTAATCCAAGTTCTAAAAATGTGGCTTTTCTGTAAAGATCTCATTGCAGAAAGGAAATTGGTGCTCTGAAATTGTAGAATGCCTTGTTCCTTTTACTATATCCCAGTATAATTCAAGGAAGGAACAGTAGTAGGTTATGGCAGTTTGCTTGACTACAATAAGCCTCAGAGACTCAATTCATACTTTTTCTGTTTTATTTGTTGGAAACATCTAATCATCTCAACAAGAGATCCCTTCCCAAGAACCAAATGGATTAGGAGTAGGGATACACACAAAACAGGAAAATATATTTTGTTCTGAATCCAAAACTAACCAGTGTATTCCAGAAGTTCTGCATGGTTGGGCTTGGTTTAGTGGAAGCAAAACCCAGAATCTTTCCATTGTTCTGGGTTTCACATGAAACAAAGTCCAGAGGGAACGCCGAGTGATTGTACAGGGTGAGCAGGGCAAGTCCGACGCCCGTCACCCCCTTTCTCTCTTCTGCAGCTCTTAGTGGGCATATCCCACCGGTCTACCTGCCCCCCCCCC